CTCTGAAAGTTGAAGAACCCGTTTCAGTTTATTAAGAAACGTTTTCTGAAAACAGTGTTTTTCAAAATAAAAAGATAGCTGAAATGGCCAAAAAAACCAAACGAACACAAATAACATCGTTATAACTGAATATCCCGAGAGATAAGGGCTTGAAGTAACAAATAATTATATTATTTTATATTTGATTGATGTAAGCATTTCCTTAATTAAAAGCCCTTAGAGTTTAAAAATTTCCCAACCTCGTCGAGTATGTGATTACTTTGATTTCATGGTATAAATAATCAGCGATTAATTGAATCTAAAAAATTACTTTCTTACAGAAAGTAGGTGTCACTATTTTGTTATAGGTTCTCTGCACTGTATAAATAAACTTCATTACATATATTTAAACAATCTTAATTTTGAATTTGAAGATTAACTATGAAAATGGTTTTTCTACAACGAAAAACCGAGTAAGTCACCATTGACAGTTCAAATGTTTTTCCAATACTAGTTCTCAGTTCCCTCGCTGGTTATTCAATATCAAGGAGCTACGTCTGTGTCCACGTCTACGCCACTCACAATCACTTCCTGCTTTTCTAGTTGCACGAGCTTATCATATTCTAACACGGTCCGATCACATGAACCGGAAGTAAAGTGGATGGTTGGAGCGTCAATTGCAGCGTTATACTTCAGTCGCTTTTAGATAAGGCAATTGTTCTAGGTCGATATCATCTGTGTACACGTCTTTATCTAAAACTGAAAAAAAAAATGAGAAAATCAGGAAATTAATAAAACTAAATTTTGAAATACAGCTCTTATATAGGAGAATTTTGTATCCATAACCATTTGACCCTAAGAGTGATTAGCAGCTAATTTCTCCTTACAATATCACCCCTGAATCAAACATTTAGGTCTTGAGAATGAAGGGAATGATCACCAACTGTAGAAGCTCTTAATCGTAGAAAGAAATTATCCTTGTCAGCACTAACAGAAATATATAGAGAACAGTGTGGAGTATGCGTACTAATGTTGAGGTGTAGAAGGTTAAATTCTGGCTATCAATGTGTACTCCGTGGAAACGAAAAGTTGTTGAACGTGGTTAAAGGCGTCACCAACGAGATTACTAAAACGTTACACCCCTCTTGGCCTTCCTGGTCACGTCAACGATAACTCGTGATTATAGAACACTGTGACATACCCCTTGATGACAGAAAATGCCTTGAACTGCTCCTTGACGATGCATTTCACGTTAAATGAAAGCTAATCTCCTCCTCTCATTCAGAACTGCTTTTAGCTCACACAACACCCTTTAACCCTGTACACCCTAATATCAGTATGCATATTCTCCATACTGTTCACCATACATTTCTTGAGGTACTGACAAGGAGAATTTGTTTGTGACGTTAATGTGTGATTCAGGGGTGATATCGCAAGGGAAAATAAGATGTTAGTCACTCTTTGGGTGAAAAGGTTAAGATGCGATGCAGCCCACTGGTTGAAAGAGTTCTATTCCCTGTACTTACCTGTCATTCGTCGTTTAATGTTTGTGGGAGGTTTACGATACAAAAGAGCTACAATCAAGAAAGCAAGCAGCGCTTCAATCCCAGGGAATACCGAGAAGGCGCCTCTGAGGTACTGGGCACAAGGTTCGCCACATACCCTGAAAATAGCAGAAACTATGTTAAACATGCGCCACGAATAGAAATGTAACGAGTCAAGTGCTAAATACAGGAGGTTATCTTGATAAATCACCAAATTCTCTTCACTAGTTTTCAAGGGAATGTATAGCTGCTTGAAGGGATTATTACAAATCACATCTGAAAAGGCCAATGAATCAACTCACCCTTGTGTCTCGGGATAATATTCTTGTAGGCCAAGAACTATAAAACCAAGCGATGCTTTATCCATAAGAGCGCACACACCGTACACAAAACCACTAGATTTCTGTAGAGCAAACAAAGGTTAGGTCAGAAAAACACGTACTGCTACACACCATGGAAGAAATATGTGTGATCCTCTCTAGTTGGAATGGATGCGAAGGTTTACATCCCTTTCCCTTCAGAAGGTTTATGTATGTTTCACTCCCCCCCTCCCCCACTCCACCTCCTTCTCCCTCACTAAATCGACCATAAGACGTCCATCCGATCTTATATAATAAGCTTGCGGACGAACTGGGAGGGTGGGGGCGAAATTGCAAAATTTCATGGAGCAGAGTAGTAAAGGTTGTACTAATAATGGGGTGAAACATCCAGATATCAAGGGGAGAATTCACCAGATTGGCCTTCAAGGGCTTTACGCTTATCCCAGAAAGGATGGATGACGGATGGAAAATAGTGGAAAGCTTGACGGGGACGGAGAGGAAAACATGGTGATATAAAAGTTTTAATACGTAGAACTGTTAGTGCAATTTCCTGGCTGCCCTCCCTGTGCAAAAAAACAAAGTAGAATCACCAACGGAAATTCCTGAGGCAAATTATCCACGTTTCTGAATCGAAGAGAATTGCGGAATGGTGTCGTGCCATGTGTACAAACGGGAAGCTCTGGGTGGAAAGAAAAGGCAGATCACACACTTACTTTATCGTCACCAATGATTTCTGCTACCATGGCTAGAGACGTCACAAGCATCATGGAGTTTCCACAGCCCATGATGATTGTGGGCGCGTAGATCATTTGTCTCTTTGACTGAGGCGTGAAGTAGAACCACGTGGCACAGCCAATGACAACGACTGCACCAACACAAAACAAAACCTGTGTGGAAACCGTGATTTAGCGATGTTACTTGGCTGTACATACATTCTAGTTGACCCTACCATCTTTTTTTTTGACATAAACCTAAAACCTTGTGATCTGTAGGTCTGATAAGAACGGGGAAATGGAAAAACGAGTTAGGGGGGGATGGAAAAACGAGTTAGGAAGAAATAATTTAGAGACCAAGGCCACGCCGAAGAGTTTCCAGGGGTCCTAAATTAATATATTTAAGGTTCCTCCTTTTGCGTCCTTGGTTTACATTCTCTCTGAAGATAGAGAGGCAAATTATTGCAGAGATGGTAAGGAAGCAGAAACTCTGACTCGAGCTTAAAGATAACGAACGGGGGATAGGCAATCAAGTTCTCCCAAAAGTACTGATACCGATCCAAAAAGAGCAGTGAGGAGAATCTCACTCATCAACTTACCCTGTTCGAGAAATACTTGTTAAGTCTCTTTATCACTGTGCTCATAAGGATTCCGCTGATGAGGATCATTAATGGGAAGTAAGCAATGGCTTCCTGATTGAAAATAAAACAGAAAGTTAACTTTATTACAAAATCTCACGTCTAGCACTCTGGTTGAATGACCTATTCCACTAGAGTTTCTACCGCGTTTTGTAGCATGAAGCAAGCCATGAAGAGTATTGTTGCACTTCATTGATGGAGAGTCGGTCTATGTTATGACCCCTCTCCCCTCCCTCCCATCCCCTACCACATCCCTTCCCCTCCTAAAAAATTTGTAACCTTTTCCTAACAAATAACCGATACTGTTTCGAATTCCTGTTAGTTTAGGTAAATGGTTAGAAAACCTAAGAGATTTCTTAGTTAAATGTTTCTGTTACTTTTTTTTGGTCTAACCGTGCCTAACTATTAGTAACATTCCAATTATTTCGAACAGCTTGATTAAGGCAAACTTTTCCAGTAATTTACTCAGTCACAATCCAGATCTCACAATTATCTTACCTTTCGGAAGTGAAGAGTTTCTGTTAGATACATAGGAAAGTACGACTGATTTAAATTTACCACATTCTGTGTCGCCATATATATTATAACAATCTGCAAAGGTAAAGAGAAAAATAAAAGCTAAGTTTAAACTTGGTGTCAGGGAAAAATCACCATTAAGGGTCCTAGTCTCGAACGACGAATGGTTTCCATCCAGGCCACGAATCTTAAGTCGCATTTGCAGCTTTAAGTGTTTATAATTTAACAACACAATCTCTCTACAGAGAACACTTTTCATGGCCTTCATAGAGTCCCCAGAGGGAATGTTCTTCATTGACTTCTTCTAACGAAAAAGAGATTTTGTATTAATTTCTTTGAAAGCGTTTTCATTACCGAGCGCTTCCTCTTAACTTGTTTTCGGGTTTTGTTCACCGTTGAAAATGCCCCGATTTAATTTCATGTAAACTTTCTCTGCGTTGATATTCAAAGCAAAGAGCCAACGCTCTCACCTTATAAAAGTCAGGATTTTTAAGCCATTTCATCCAGGTTTTCTTTACGTCATCCTGTTTCTGTCTTTCCTGCTTTTGAAGCTCGATCTCAAGGGCTTGTTTTTCCAAGTCCTTACACAGTGGAGCGTCGGCTGAAGAATTTTGCGACTGTTTTTTATTTTCTTCATCTTCCGCTGAAAAGAGAAATCACTTTGGAGATAAATTACCTCATTTGGAAGAACACAATACATACACAAATAGACTGCAGTCGTGAAACGTAGAAATCCGAATGGTCAAAATTCTAGTTTTCACATCTGATAACCGGAAGTGCAGATTCTGAAAGTCTTGAAGTGAATAGAATTGGGGGTACCTGTACCATGATCGACGTCCTCTACTCCCCAGTGGAAAATAAAAGCGAAAAAGCTTCCAGTTATCATGACGATTATGGATTGATACTGAAAATGAAACAAAAGCGAGTTGGAGAAACAAAACAAACCAAACCAAGCAAACAAACCAAGAAACAAGACAATTTTTTTAATGTTCATGGAACACGGACCTATCCAGTGTTTGTTTGTCGAAAGTGAAAACCACATAGGACATTTCATTAAATTGAATTTTATTTCAGGTTCTTACCGTAAATTGTTTCTTTGCAGATTCGTTGACAGTTTCTTCACTGTTTTGGCCCAGAAGGATCCAAGTTACTACAAACACAAAAACGCCGCATCCTAGCTTGAGTGCAGATCTGAAAGAACAAAAGGACATAGGAAAAGGGTTAACTTCTTTCTATTCACCACAACTGCTTTCAAAGGCTCTTCCTTCATAACTTGAGTATGTGTTGACAGGAGACTTTAAGAAGTTGTTAGTGTTGGCGATGCACACTCTATATGAGCAAAAAAAAATCTTAATATTTAATTAGAATCTGCTGAATGAGTCAAAATTTTTAAAAGTGTTTTGTCTTTAACAGGTTTATAAGGCCATGACGCTACAATCCAACTAAAATTTCTCAGGATTTTGCCGCCCCCCACTCCCCCTATCAAGAATGTGAGGTTGATCATCTCTTTATAACTTTTTTCTCAGCTATGCCAGTTTATCTCTTTTACAAGTATGAGCAAAATCAAAAATAGCACTGAAAAGGACGCCAACGACAACAACAAAAACAAAAAAAGACTGTCTCTTTTAGCACAAAAACCTTGGTTGGTAAATCTTGACTAGATCATGAAGTGGTGGAATATTTTAATATCGAAGAAGACTCAACACCTGGGCTCAGTTGTTCATAGGGCAAATAAAGCTATCCAACGGATAAATCAGTACCCAGCGGATAAGAGTATACAAAACGTACAGCGCTATCAACCGGATGGAAATCTATCCGGTGGATGTCTTTATCCAACCTTCAAACAACCACGGCCTGATCTATTGTTGGTCAATGCTCGAAAAGCATAAAATGTTGTTTTGTTATTCAATTGGGCATAAGGAAAAAACATTTTTAGCTAAGAAATACCTTTAAAATTACAAGAACAATTAGCGTTCTCGTAAGAATTTAATTTAAGTCTGGTTGCTGCCTTTGTACCCAGCTGGATTCAAAACAAAGAACGCTAGCCTAGCGGTCAACCCGCAACTTCACAGTTATAAGAGCTCGCTATTTGGGTTAAGATATTATGTGACGAAAAGAACTGTTGTCAAAGCGACCAGTGAAAGTCGAGTCTCGAAAAAGAACAGTTCACCCTTTCACTATCAAGATCTCATTAGTTATTCTCCTTACTGTCTGCCACATAATAGTTATGATGTAACTTCGGAGAATTTGGTATTGGATCAACTAATAATCCTTTTTTCATTTCCATCATTTGACTGCTTGATATTGTAAGCAGAAATTGTCTTGGTGTTTCGTGGGTTTTAAATGGGTTAAAGATGTCATGGGGATCGATTGAGACCATACCAAAGAGACACTATAAAGACTCTCATCTCCAACTGAGCTGTTGGGAACAAAAAAAAATTTGATGCATTTTTCATTTAATTAAGTATTTGCACAATATCCCCCTATGGTCAACAGTACACAAAACTTAAAACGCATCAGCAAATAAAGAGAACAGTGTTGAATTGAATTTGAAGAATTCAGTGTCTCGTGGATCACTAACCAAATAAACTGATACCTTCCGGAAATATCACCTGACGATTGCAGTAAGGGTGGTAGCCTGCTGCTATTAAATAGTTAAAGAAAAGGAATTCTAGTATATTCTTAAAATAACAACCTATGAAGAGTGCATGATCAGAACAAAACTTGATATTACCGACACGTACATGCGTCTCCGACACGTACATGTGTCTCCGATGTCAGGTTCCTGTCACCGAGAGTATACAGACTCCGGATTTCCTCCCAAATCATACCGTGTGTTAAAACCAATGTTCTAAATTTCTTTACAACTTTCAATTAACTTGGTTTTCTCTTGTGATTTTATTGCAGTCAAACACCTTCGAGCGACATTAAATTCCGCATTTTCGTATGTTTTCGGTTGTTTCTTTGAATTTTCTCGCTTTAGCACATGCAGTAAGTGCTGGGGCGCTGATGAATAATGCTGCCTTGATCACGAATCGCACTAACTTCTCTAATCCTTTGAAATGCTTCTAAACTTAGAGTTCAAAACGTTTCCGTGAGGTGTTTCCGCAGTTCTTCTTCCCATCGCGTAGGGAAAATAACCGCAATTTAATCCATTTAAAACCCCTAAAGATACCGTGAATGTCGAGAATGCGTATGCACAAAAGAGACGGGACAATTGATAAAGTTCTCATGGAAATTCCCTATTCATAACTAAAGAAATTCATAGGCATGACACGAATCAAAAACGAAAACGTTTCAACGAAGTTAAGTCAGACCTTGGAAAATGATATTTCCGGAAATGGCGTTATACAAAGAATTCCACCCCCCCCCTCCTCCTCCGCCATGAAGGGTTTGCCAAGAGAGGATCTCGAGGTAAATCGTATCAATGTAAGATCATTAAGATCACTAAGATTACAGAAAGATTCTTGTGTCTTAAGATGATACAGATGATTCCCATTTAAGGTTAAGGTTTCAGAAGCGCTCATATTTTTATACAAAATGCGAAGTCTAAAATATGTTGCGATTACCTAATTCGATTAATTTAATTTTTTTAGTTTCTATTTCTGTTTCGATCGTAAATCAGGTGACTTAACCCTTTTAACTCCCACGTCTGACCAAGACAGAATATCTCCTTACAATATCAATACAATATTAACCAGATAAGTGATGAGAATAAAGAAAAATATCAATTTGGGGGAAATAAGTTGATGCGATTCTAGATTCTCTGAACTAATATTATAAGAATTGTATGGTTGACGGTAAGAAGAATTACAAATTTGATCTGGGAGTTAAAGGGTAAATATAAACCATGACCCATATATTCTGGAGTCGATAACACAGAGAGGTATTTACATGCGTTACTTGGAGGTAATTTCGGCACTCTACGTCACGGCAAATAGCACAGATAGTCCTCTACGAAAAATTGTTTGAGTGAAACTGCATTGAGGGTGACATAATCATCTCACTTGATGACTAACATGACGTAAAACACAGTTTCACTAGGAAAAGGGGGAATTATGTTAAGGTTGATCATTATTAAACTGGCGCAGCTGAGGAATAAAGGGCCTTTCATCTTTTAAGAACAAGGATTAACACATTAATTCCTAAGCATTTTGCAATTCAATTAAGAAAATTATAGTAATAAATGAAAATAGTTTGGCTTTCTAACTTTTGAATAGCATGCACAAAACCTCATTCAACCTTATTGTTGAAACTTCGTTCACGAGGAACAAATTGGCGCATACGAGAAAGAGACCCTTATCTATGAACCTTGAAGAAATAATCGAACGCACACAGATGTTAGGACGCTCTTTCTAATTATGCGCTTATCGACGACGGCAAATTTTGCCTCTGGTGTCAAGTATTTACTTCTCGTGCGTAGTGATCTAAGCAAAGATGCCAATTCGGTGGATTGGTGATTCAAAGGCTGACGCGGCGCACTTTCAGGCCATTTTCCCGAAACTCACATGAAATTACAGCCAAATTTAATTGAACCGAACTAGCTTGTTCTTCTTTACCCCGGAGGGCCTAGATTTCACTCTACTTTCGAAAGCGTGCATGTGTTAATCTGGAACAACACGATATTATTCTCACGACCGACAAAGGTCACTTAGTTACATGATGCAAAAAAAAAAAATGGTGATCATCATTTATAATCCTGTCGTTCTTCCGATTTCAACGCGTTTAGATTATCTGCTGTCATGAATTTTCCCTGATTGAGCGGAAACGTAACACGCTTCCTGGGAAGCTGTACTGAGCAAAACAACTAAGTGTTTTAAAAACGAAAAAACTTTACTGAATAATTTTGAATATGAATGAAGGGCTCAGGTAAACATATTTACCTTTGAAACACGCTTTCGATGTATTTTTAATGACCAAACTTGAAAGCCTCGTGCATGATCGGAAAGAACTTATGCTATGTGAATTTATATTGCTGAAATAAATTTTAGAGGATTTGAATTTGCAAATTAAAGTCTAACAGCATCACTGCCCAGTTAGAAGCGGAATTATATTTTCCTTAGCTGCCCAATGAGCTGAGAATTGTTATCTGTTCCGAAGGTTGCATTATGTATATTAGCTTCAAGTTCAAAGTACTCCGTTTAGATGTGAACAACATGTACAAAATATTTCGCATGGAAATCGAAAGCGAAGAACGATGGATCGCGTATTTCAGAGGCTGTAAAAGGCATATTTAGTACCCCTGAAAACAAGTTTTCATTTCTTTTCAAATTAAAATCATTCGGAAGTCACAAGACATCTGCGTTCGATCAACTGAATCCATTGTTTCCTTTTTCCGCTCGGTGGCTAAGCAAAAGGAAAACCCACCAACGATAGATGATGCAATAACGACAAATATAATTTTGAACCACCGCGCGGTTAAAATCAGTGAAATGAAAGAAGGAATTACTTAGTACATATTTCTTTCTAGGGCTTTTTAAGATTTCCCCCAGAACGTGTGAAATGCCAGCAACAATGTTTGTTTAAAAAACCTTGACTAGGCCTTGATGAAAAAAATATTTTTTCGTGTAACGAACACGAGTGACAATGACGCTTGGAAAAAAGCCAGACAAACAATATCGCATCATGTAACACCACCTACGATGAAAATCCTAGTAATCCTGCTGCTTTTTGCGAGCAATCTTTTGCCCCTAGAATTTCACATGTACTTACCTTATAGCGCTCAACTCTACAGCATCTTTCGGCCGTTTGGCAACATGAGGCATTAGAGACAAATGACTTATCTCCACCATAGGCCAACAAACACTGAATAGAGCTGCGAAGGCTCCATAGTATGCCACCGGAACCCAGTCAGGGCTATCCTCGTTACAAGCTAAACACGGGCTGAACACAAACGGCCAGATCAGCGCGATTCCAACACTACCGAATAAATGCCAGATCTTTCTATTGCCGTATTTCTTGGTGATTTTCTTCGAGAGACTCTTGTCGCAGCCATAACCGATAAACGGAGTGGAAATCGCATCCGCAATTTGAGAAGCGAGAAAAATTAGACCAGTTCCCTTAGCGGAGATTTTCACGATTTTGTTGAAAAAGATTATAAGATAGGTAAACCACGCTTGAATACAAAGATCGTTGAATACATGCCCTACTCCATAGCAGATCTTTTGTTTCAGTGAAGTTCTTTCTTCTTTGTGTACCAGCTTTTGGCTCGGTTTATTACGTCCGCAAATCCACACCATTTTAGTTTTCTCCCGCTATCCTCTTGAAAGGAAGATGAAAGCCGGTCCCGCGCGATCTTCGCCTTTGAACTTGCTAGGGAGCAACTGCAACGCCGGCTTTGCTCGATGTGACATTAATTTTCGAGCAAGGAAAGCCTCTTACGATTTCACTTGTTAAATTTGGAAACCTTCGTCATAAGCCTATTGTTCTTCCATCAAAAGTTTGACAGTTGTCAGAGTGACATCAAATCGAAACCAATCATGTGGAGGATCCAAGGGTAGCGATGAAATCCACAGCCAAGTACACCAGGTTAATTTAGTGTGTTTAACTTTGGTGATATGAAAACCCCTTTTACGCATTTCTGGCAGGTTACTTCGAAAGTTCTTCGAATTTGTTTTGCCGCAGACATCTAGACGTCACGATTTTAGAATTTGCAATAATTACCGCTTTTAGCTCTCTGGCTTTTTTTGTTGTTTATGTCGCCTTGGCGAAAAACAAAGAATATTTGATATTTACTCAGATAGATCAAGATCAATCAGCTCCCTACAATAGATAATGATAGACTTCTCTATTCATTTACTGTGTTTACAACGTAAAAATAGATTTGTGATCGCGATTCTTCAGAACAAGAAAATTTTTATTTTACAGTAGAAAAAATAATATTCTGCGGTTCCTGCAAATCCTAGTCCTACGAAGAGTGTAAACGTCATTGTACATGATTTAAGGGGTGTATTGCAAAACAGCATGCACAACATGTTTATTTCCTACAGGGAAGGCCTTTTTTCTTATTGAAATCCTTTCGGAATTTTCGCAATTTCTAGAAACGAGTTTCCGAAAAGCACAAATGCGTTTTCCGGTTTTCCGGTTTTACTGTCACGAGCATTTTTAAGGTCAAACTGAACAAGGTCAACAAACAGACTTGCTCGTATGATTCGCTCTGTTGACATAAATAATATTTTCATAAAGATAACATCGAACGGAAAATCGGGTCGAGTGAAGGGTGGCGTGATCCGATCTAGTAGAGTAAAATGTCTTTTTAAATTTCTAATTTTAATTTTCAAATCGAGGAGTTTCCTCGTCACCAGGCACTGTTGCAAGAAATATTAGGAGCAAACTCATGCCGATTTCCTAGAGAGCCAAATCGGCCGGATGAGTAGTCTTACATTTAAATGAAGCCGATTCGACCTTTGGGTCATGCACGGTGCTTTCATGTGATCATTTTTACAGTTTTTACATTTTTCAACTCACAGAAAAAATAGCCTGCGGAAAACACTTCATTCAACTAGACATACTGGTATTAACATTAAAAAAAACCAACTGCGGTTTGTCAGCAGAGGGCAGACTGAGCTGTGTTTGTCAGTAAAGCTGTGATAGGGCGTGTGATTGACGTTAAAAATTCCAACGGCGTTGTGATGTGGACAGTAATGAGCACGAGGACATTGTTTTCGCATGGCAAGGCCGCAATTCATTCGCAAACGACTTGTTCTCACCCACGTAGTGACAATGAGGGCAGTAGCTGTAAGAGAAGGACAAATCGAACCATTTATAGACAAGAAGTATGGAAATATTGATAGACCGAAATAATTTTTGCATCAGATAAACAAATAATAGATGACGGGAGACTTAAAATAAATTTATGCAGTAACAACATATTTTTAATTCAACACACGTATCTATATTTTCATTCACAGGGAACGTTTAGGGCTGATAAACTAAAACTTGTTCAGCACTGTCAGTGGTAGCCATAAAACTCATCATAATTTTGTCACATCTATATGCGCAAGGAGAACCTACAGAATAGATAAATATTCCGCTTTGGGGGCACTTTGTGTAGGTGAGGTCCGAGATTATAATTATTTCGGTTGATTTTTGGGATAAAATTACAGATAATTTGGACATTGAGAACCATAGGATCGTATTATGACTAGCGCGTGAGGGTGAGAGTGATCAAATTCAAAAAGTAAACAGTGAAGTTTCGGTACACAGCGGACCTGTTGGTCTCATTTCCGACCGTGATAAGGGATGCTTCCAAACGAAATTTTTAAAGAAAAATCAAAAGGTTTTTAGGATATGTGTAGCTGAGATAACGGAAATAATTCATGGAAAGCTTGCGTGAGGCCCCCCCTTTTTTTTCGGAAAAACACGTAAGCTTTTAGCTGTCACAAAGTTCTGGGATACATCATGCTTTTTTAGGTAACATTCCAAATATTTTCACTAATGTTATTAAGGAGTTTGCCTGATGTTATTATGGTTATGAATGTCTTGACGGATGTTATGCAAGGTGCGCACGTGGAAGGTGCACGTGCTGACAACTTTCGATCCCTGTATAACAGAAGGAGATTCGTGGACTCCCCAAATTTTCTTTTATAGCTATCATGCGCTCTCAAATGCGACATATTGCAGGGTTATATTGGAATTTAACAAAGGATGATGCAGACTACATGGTTCTCAAAATGTCACTCTAGGGTCAATATTTTAACCAAAATTTCATCCTTTCGCTTGTTTGCTTATTAGGCATCTAACAAACGCGAGGGAAGCAAACTGGCAGGGTATGGAGCGCGTGAGACTTCCCCCCCTCCCTCGTACAACTTCAGTAACAGCATCTTACTCCCTCCTCAGCCTCCTAAGTTCAGCCCTTGGCCTGCTACAGTGGTGAATGGAATGTGATATAAATTATCTGGTGAAAAGAAGGCGATGGTCTCAACTTTTGATAGCTTTAAACAATAATATAACTTATAGAAAAGCTTTATCTTAGGTTTACACTAAATACCACTACTTGCGTGTTCAACATAAATAAATGAAATCTCGCATCATCTAAATAGCGTTTCTTTGTCTATATAACCAAACATTTTTTAAAAAGGAAGTTAATTTAAAACTCCAATTTTTTCTTTGTAGCGTGGCCCTTAAGATACGAAAACTCAATCTTGATCTTTGTCTGTATCTTCATTTCAGCTTCTTGCAATTGATTGCATAACATCATCAACAAATTTGAGATTAGGACCTTCAAACCATCATTTTCACTGCATCGTTATTTTTTTAGCCAACCCTACGGCAGTGCAGCATTGTTGCGCCTCCCATCGACCACTTCCCATTCAAACGTTAGAACTAGGAAGTTCAGCGATCTTTGCGTAAAGGTCTGCAAGACATTCCACGGGTATTGTTTGCGTGCTCTGATCTGCTTTTTCAACTGTGAAAAGTTAACGTACTTCAAGTAAGAAAATGAGGAAAACCTTATTTAAGGAATTAGTAATTATTTATTTCTGGGGGGCGAGGTCGTGGAGGATGGGGGGGTCACTTTGTTTTCAGGGGGCACGGAGGACCAATAGAGTATAAAGGAGATGACTTAGGAAAATTGATGGCAAATTAACTGCCATTAACAGGGGGGGGGAAGCATAAGAATATAACAGAGCATTTCGGGGGATCGGGTGAATTTTATTGTGGAACAACCTAAATCCCCAACCCATCCCCCCTCCGCCCCTTTCCCAAGGTGCTAAATAATGACTCTTTGGGGATTGAAACTCAGCTGCTTGTGGGTCGTGAAAAAAAAAATTAGAAAAAAAACCATATCTTTCCAAACGTAACCATTATGCTACTTAATTAATATCCCATCTGATCAATATATTGATCAGATAGGGTGTAATTATATATATAATTTGACTAATTAACAATATCATTAAGCTCATAGCGTCTCATATGTGAGAATTAATCATCGTTGCATTTAAGAGAAGATAAAAGCCCACTGTTCAAGTATAACGGGTCGTAACTTACTTCTTGGCCGACAGGACAAGACAAGTTTTGACTTGAAACAAAGACCAACGATTACCAAGGAAATAACAGCTGATATTCCCGGCGTCAAGGTAAATACAAGGCGCACATAACTGCCACATTGTTCACATATCACCCTGAAAAAGAAATGTACTACACAAGTGAATAGTGTATTTCGCGCGCACTGATTGGCTAGTTCAGAAGAGAATAGCAAGTACCACTCAAGTCCAATGTGGTGAATAATTGTCAAAGGTAGAAAGTTCTCGCTGACAAGTTATGAGTTAAATTACGTAGTTAGTAAAACTGGTAGAATATCAAAATTCGCCCGCGAGCATACCCTTTCTGTTATAGCACTGCGGCACTAAATTTTTCCCGCTCGTAAGAAAGTTTGCGGCCTCGAGCAACGCAAACTGGTGACAGGTCTGCGAGGGGTATATGGTCCCATCATTTTGCCAACCCCCGCTAAATCTCTCGCCTAATTCGAGGCTTCAAAAAAGCGAAGAAACGCTTTTACCGCATCGCTAAAAATCAGGACCTGATCGCCGCTAGATATTAAATGTACATACCCATCAGGACTGTCAGGATAAAATGTCTGAATCACAAGCACCACCGCACCCACGAATCCTTTGTCCAAGAAACCCATTACTGAGTAAACAAAGCCTCCAGAGGCCTGGAGGAAAAGGGACAAAAACTGGTTCAGACAAAAACCTGTTACTTAATCTACTATCTTGTCCAAAAGAGATTCTTCTCCAAAGCCTCTTCCTCTGTTTTCTCTCTGCGTACTATGTAAGTCGTGCAAGACGACATTGAAGCACGTTGGAGATTCCTTTTCTCTTACCTTATCGATTCCAATCATGTCAGCGGTCATAGACAGCACAGTCACAAGCATGACAGAATTTCCGCAGCCCAAAATGAACGCCGCCGCGTACACCCCCTCTCGGCCCGAGATTGTCTGAAGATAAAACCAAGCACATGCGCCAAGAACGATTGCGCAGGCTAAACAGAAGGTCCACTGAAAAAAGGCAAAGAAACAGAAGGAAAATGAATTCCTCAGTCAATAAACTGAAGTGATATTTTTCCTATGACGATGGCTTTTTTTTTGTATCATTGAGGATTTTTCATCATTACTGTCCCTTTCCACTCCCGGAAATTGCGCTACACATTTGGTTGAAAATGAAAGAAAGAATATGCCCTCCTATGCACTGATCACTGTGAGTCAAGGTTGGATTTCTCTCTCAGAATCGGTTGATTTGAAACAGCAAGATAAAACAGGAACAATTCAAGTCAAATGGAGTTGAAAACAAGGTGCTATGAACCTGTGGTTCTACGTCGGTGGAAAAGTACTGAATTGATCGTGTAAATTAGCCACCGTAAAGAGTTGCTAGGCTGACGTTTTGAGCGTTAGCCCTTCGTCAGAGTGGAGTTAAAAACAATTGAACTTGGTGTGGCTGTTTAATAAACTTGGGACAGACTTTGATTTAACCTTATAGCCCTGAGAGGGACTGGCATCTAATTTCTCCTTACAACTTAACACTTTTGAATTAAACACTAGTTGAAGGAAATGATCACCGAATTCCGAGTTCTTGATTGTTAAACAAATTCTCCTTTTCAGCACCAAAGGAAATGTATGGAGAACAATGTGAAGAACATACATACTGATTTTAGAGTGTAAATGGTTAAGTTTTCACCTTGGTACCCAGGCTTTTGCTGATTCTCTTTACAAGAACACTTGAAATGGCACCAGTAACCAGGATTACCAGAGGAAAATATGCGATGGCCTCCTGCAAAACGAAATTGAGAGAAAGACGTAATATAGTTAAAAATGAAAGAGAAAATTATGAAAGAAACGAGGACATGTTGAAGTATAAAAGCCCGTTAATGAAGAGACTTCAGACTTCAAGTTTAAAGTTTCTGAAGTCCGTCGTCGGCTTTTGTGGGAAAGATATTTGTCTAAAAGTTTATTGTCGACCGAGAAATGCTTCCATGCTGTTTCTATTTGTTTTGTGGAAAACATTGAGAGCTGTAATCGAGTAACGTTTTTACAGTTGGCCTGGGGTAAGCAAAAGCTAATGGAACTTTGTGCTGAGTATAAGAGGAAACAAATTCTGCTTAATCTTTTTTGACTATACCCTTTCAGCTGAACCGTGGAATTACGAAAGATGTTCATTTAAACATACTTTCTGAAAGTGAAGCGTCTCCGTCAAGTAGAACGGAAAATAGGATTGGGAAACATTCACTGTGATACGACTGCAGGTGTAAACGACGCCCATCTGAAAGAAAAACACATCAGTTGGTCAGTGCATGGGCAAATACAGCCTACATCATTAAAACTGACACATTTCACAAAAGACCTTGACTTTTGAAATTCATTGATGCGCAAGGGCGAGTCGTTGTTCAAGTAAACAAGAGGTAAAAGAACTTTCGAGAACTCGATGGATTCATTCACGTTTTCCGCCATGTGCGGGAGAGCGGGAAAAGGCGTGCAACCAAGTTTCGACTGATTTTAATGTCTGGCTTGCTATTGGCTGAATTTGTGCAAGCGTGGGTTCCATCGGCCAATTGTGGAAAGGTAGTGGAAGCTCCATCTCACCGCGTAAAATTGAGGATCTTTGAACCACTGCCGCCATGTTTTGGGTTTGTGTGAAGGGGCGTCTCTCTCCACAATCTCCACACAGAGGCTTTGATCAGATGAATGTTCGTCCAGCGGTTCTAAGTTAGAACAGAGAATACACAATTACATAAAAGCTTGTTTTTGTGGGGCGTGTGATATTAACGTTTGTCGTCAGAAAATATTGAGTTGATAAAATAATAAAACGGAAGAATGGAAATAGGAAACCAAAAGGGAGCAAAGAGGACAAAGGAAAGGGAAGAATAAAGCAGATTGAAATTTGAACAAATTTTGCTTAAGATTTCAGATTAAGGACCCAACTGACAATTAGCTCCTTCAAAGCTAGAAGTTCTGGCTGACATAAGACTATAGTTCGACCAGAACGAAATTCTTCTAATCCACTGAATTTCATGGAACTGCTTGCTGGATCGCTGAGGATTTCAATCAATGAAAACGAAACTGAACTGAGAGAAAAGAAAATGTGCAAAAAATGTTTCTCTATCAGAGGAAGCGAAAGCCCCCTCCCCCTTCTCAAAGAAATAACTTGAAAGTACAATTTTTATACAACTGCTAACCTTCTGTGAGTTCCTTCCTTTCGCCAGTTGTTGAAGTAGCTGGTTCTATTGTTCCCCAGTGAAACACGATAGAAAACAGAAATCCAATCGCTACAACAATTAAGCTGAGATGCTGAAATCAAATAGAAACGCTGTAAATATAATAAAACGTTTATGACTTCGTCAGCTCTGTCGAATATTTCCATCAGTGTATTTTCTTAAAATTTTCTAAAAATCTTTTAAACATATCACTAACAGGGAGAACTGTTGAGAAATATTAAAAGAAAACATGAAAAATAACAGTAAAAAAATTAGGAGCAAAAAACAGGATATTGCTACAGCGGAAAAGGTTGGAACAAACACTCGGACAGGAAAGATGCTTTTTATGGCGTATGCGCGTTCTCAAGCTCTGCTTAGTTGGAAATTTGCGCTGAAGGTAAGATTCTGGAGTGTTTTAGTACAAAAAATATCGTTGGAATTTCTTTTGAAGAAAAGTAAGTGACAAAATTTCATGGTACCGTGAATTCTTTGGCTAAGTTAGGGCTGATGCCTTCTTCGCTCGCTTGTCCTAGCAGGATCCATGTTACCACGTAGATGAAGATGCCGCATACAAAAGTTAAACCAGATCTGAAAGCAGACGTTAATGCACAAATTTACATGTGAATACTTTGATGATAAAAAAAAGACTTTCTGAGATTATCAACCCGCTTAAAGGAACAAACAACAATTAGCATGAGCTGTATTGCTTTTGAATAATTTTGTTCGAGGCTGACAAAATTGAAATTATCCATGTTAACATTGGCCTTCATTGTTTGTTTTAATCTTAACTTTTGCTAACCTGTTTAGTCTGAAAGCAAAGGCTTGGAAGATTGTTTGTTTATAAACAGAAAGCGCTAATAGGGGGAGGCTATAAATGTTCAATTAAAATTTCACTTAAAAACTTTACAATCTGGACCATGCTGGATTTTCAAATTTAATTTACGAAACAGGGGCAGTGAAGTCCAAAAACATCTTTGAAATCACAGCTGCAGCTAAAAAAATTTCTCTCGTGCGAAAACTAAAAAAGACAGAGGCAAAAAAATCTTTATTTTGATTTCTTTGATTTTATTTTGGAGATGAACTTTTGAGATTGATTTACTTTTCTCCCAAAAAAGTACAGATGTAATATCGAGAAAAAAGAACCTTTTCCGATAATTCTATTGAAATCACGGTCAACGGTCAGCCTGTTAAGACCTGCTTAATATCACTTTTACCTGACAGCGTTCAACTCAACAATTTCACCGGGTCGTCTGGCGATCTCTGGAATGAGTGAAAGATGCGCGATTTGCACTCCTGCCCAACCGACGTGGAAAATTACCACTGTAACCGAGTAATAAAGAAGTGGGAGCCATTTGGGGCTATCTTCTGCGCATGCAAAGCAAGGACTGAAGATGAACGGCCACGCGACTGCCACGAAAATCGTGCCAAACAAATGCCAAGTCTTTCTCTTACCGTAAGGCGCGAAGCGTTTAATGACGATTCGATCGCAGCCGATGCCCATAAACGGCGTAAGAATAGCATCGGCGCCTTGAGCGATGAGGAAGAGAAGTCCAGTGTCCGTGGTGGAAAGTCCGACAACTTTGTTGAAGTATACGATGAAGTAAGTGAACCAAACAGCGGAGCACAAGTCGTTGAAGATATGGCCCGTGGAGTATGAGATTCTTTGGCGCAGCGGAGTGCGATCCTTGAGCTTCGAAGCATTTTCTGGCTTTTGTAAGCAGGTAAATAATCGAGGAACGCCCATTTCAGTCTGTATCTTATGTTGTTATGCTTTCAACTATGAGTGATATCTGCTAATGCACTGCTCAGACAGCGTACGACCTTCTTTCAAGTGTTTCTGTCACCTTCTGTCGTTCTGCGCCAATTGGCTTCACGTGCCCAAATACCAACAAAAACAATAACAAAAAAAAAACATCGGTCAAAAGGTTCTGCGTGAAAATGTAGCGATGCGCTTTTCAGTAGATCACCTGTTGAGAAAGTTTTCTTGCCGTTGAGCAATAATGTTTGTTTTGCAATTGACTATTTGTAACACGCCTCGACAGTATTGCTTGTAAAAATAAGGAGATAGAGGAAAAAATATATTTTTATTCCTCCTCTGTACTTCTCGTTTTGATTGATTTTTATATGCTATGAAGAATTTCCTGCGGATACATGGATTTGGATTGAATTGCCCACCATCCTGCGTGACTCTGCAATTTTCGTTTTTTGTTTTTTTCATTAACTCTGTAGAAATTATACAGTTTTAGAGAGGACCAATATAGAAAGTATAAGTTAATTATTTCGAACGGGTTTTAGCCATTTGTTCTTTTTGAAAGCCATTTCCCTCTCAAACTTAACCTTTCGCCCCTCTTCTGCTCCCTGAAAACGCGCCTCGTGCACGTGCGAGGAGATAGTTATTCAGCAGATGAAGATCATTGCGTAAGGATGACAAATCAATCTGCCCATCATTCCCTTGTCGAGTCAAAGGTGTCATTCTCTTCACCATCGTATCAAATTCTATCAGACGTGCAGCGGAAACGGAGCCCCAGTGATAGGATAAGGTTACGCGTCAAAAAGCTTCATTGATCACAAAATGATTTTAACTTTCTCTTTTAAAAGAAGTATATATAACTTTCTAAAAGCTACAATCAAATTTGTTCTGCAAAGACGATCAAAGCGATTGTTTACGAGACTTTTACATTTCGTATGGATGTTACGTAATCACATCGCTCTGATAAGAACACTGACCCGAACTGAATGAACGATGTCAACACGATTAAAGATAGATGATATTAAGAGATTGAGATTGGAAAAATCTGCGACTTGAGAAACGCCAAAGCCCTTGATTTATAATCTTAGGAAATTCCTTTTCCCCTCTTCTTCCTCTGATTACATCACAGGAAGGCGATCCCAGGGGTTCGAATGATCTTACATTATTTTTTGGGCAGGGGCGGGGGCCGGGGCCGGGAGCAGGGAGGGAGAGAGCCCCGGTAACGAGGCGGTAATCAACCCGGGAGGACAAAGAAGACAAACTTTTTCTTAGCCGAGTTGTAAACTATTTAATTTATGTCGGCCAATTTACATCAGTTGATAAAACAAAATTAACTTTTATCTCTCTCGGACTTGAGAGATCAAAGGTTTAAAAAAACGTGGTATTTATGGATCATTACTTTTGATCTCTGAGTCAAGCCGAGATCGACCACTAGAAATTAAAGATACAGCATATCCATATCGTATCCATTACTGACGTGAACCCTCAGCGTTACTGCTTATGATAACATCAGAAACTGGCAAGCACTGACAAGCGCTGTGGACGCTCCAGCCAGTGTTACTTGCAAGAGGAGCACGTGCTGGAACTTGATACAGAGCCAGGTTTGCTGAGTCAAGGCGTTCTCGTCATCTGAACAGCCACAGGAGAATGACTCAGGAAAGGATTGGCACGTTCCGGCTAAGGGGTCTTTTGTCTTGAATATGAGGAACTATAGGAAAAGCTATCCATAAAGGTCAATTATTTTCTCTACCGTAAGAGTAGTAAAGACTGAAAGATTAATGGAGAGAAACTACTGCACTAACCCATTGGTTTTCATGACTATATTGAAATAAAAAAAACACTCTCCCACAAAAATAGATTTATTCTGCCAAAAATACTCTTCATAAGAGTTTTTCTTAACCTTCTCGAGTTCCAAAAGAACGTACATTTTTCTAACTTCAACAACGATAAACAAATTCATATATGGCCAAGCTTAACGTCCCACAACAATGGGTCTCCAAAATAGATTTATAAAAATACTTTTCAACGTTCTAACTTTCTTGATTCCCTGTGAATGTGCAATTTTCGAACGTGTTCTACGAAAAACGTTTTTAATCGTCAACTACATAAATATATTCTCGGGATTAACTCGCAACGAAAACGCAAGAGTGATTTGAAAGTGATCATGGCTGTTTTAGAGTGAAGAAATTTAGATAAATTGCCATTGACCAGCTTGAAAAATGTAGGCCTCAGATTTCAAGATGATTCAACAATGTCGTAAGTCACATAGCGCTTCGAAAATGAAACGCGGGAAACAGTTTCCAACACATATGATGTCATCTTGTCATGGTTTCATCGTTGTTCAGCCAATCAAAATAAAGAGAAATACAGAGTATTGAAAGAAGACTCAAACGAATAAATTACATGCATAGGTGCCGCATATTTTATCAAGTCAACAAAAACGAAAAAAAACACAATACCAACAAGCAAATGAAAATCAACCCTTTAACTCCCAATATCTCATTAGTAATTCTCTTTACTGTCTGACATTCAATTCTTATGATGTTATGTTGGAGAATTTGGTTTTGGATCAACTAATAATCTCCTAATTGATATTTTGCTTTATCCTCATCCCTTCTATGCTTGACATTTTCGAAACATTTCGAACAGTGTAAGATGATGCAATCAACGTGCCATAGTGCATAAGGCAGCAAATACATCGCTAATAGATAACAGTGTTTCCTTAGAGATCCTGGTACAGTCTTAGGAGCTCATTCTCCAATTTTGCTAGATGAATCTTGTTCTCTGTTTTACCAATCTTTTGTTCTGTCTCGAGCTGAAACAGAAAAAAATAATAATAATAATGTATAATTATGTAGTATCTCGCCTGTCTTAAACCGCCACGCTGAAAAGTTTCGTGACTCACATGGGTTGAAGATACAGCGGTGTTGCGTGACAATCTATATAACTCTAAAAAATCTCTCCAAGGAGACGGAAGCAAACACTAGGATCAGAAGACTTCCGGTTGTTCACCTTAGCAAATTGGTACAGTTCATTAACTCGTTACACCCTGAGGGTGATCAGCACCTTACTTCTTCGTACTGTAATATTGCTGAATCATTGATTAAGATCACGAAAATAAAGGAAATGATCACCAACCGAGGGGGCTTTGATTGTTAAACGAATTCTCATAGTCAGAACCAAAGTAAATGTAAAGAGGAAAGAATTGAGAACGTGAATACTGATGTTAGGATTTAAAAGGTTAAAAGACCACACACATCATTTTCAGCAAATTTAGATGTCTGAGACTACATGGTCTGAGTTTTTGAACAAAGTGTAGCCGTGTAGACAAAACAACCATCAATTTAGCTGAAACTTTTATCTGAACATTTAATTTTTGTGAACAGCGTCAAGAGGGCATAAAGCTAACAGTGGAAGGACATCAAATCAATAAAATCAAACCCTTTTAAGCCTCTGAGGCCCATTGATTGTGTAAAACCGTGGTTCGGGTTAGACCTCGTGTAAATAACCGACCAATAACTTCGTTCTACCAACCTGTTTCTTTAGTTGTTGATCAAAGGCAGCTTCTAACTTTTCTCTTTCAAACAAAAGTTCTTGCTCTTGATTTCTGTGAAGCAGTAACAAGTAAAACAGAGAAAAGACCCGTCACAAGGTAAAGTCAACTCTATCAATAGCCCTAAGAGTGACTAGCATCTAATTTCTCCTAACAAATCACGCATAAAGATCACGAGAATAAAGAAAATAATCACCAACTAACGAAGCTATGGATTGTAAAACAAATCCTCTTTGGCAGCATCTTAGGAAATGTAAGGTGAGCAGTATGGAGACTGTGCCAACTGATGTTAGGGTGTAAAGGGTTAAGAAGACTCAAGTATAAAATAAACAGATGTTATTCTTGTAATATTGTACCTTAAAACAAATATTTCCTTTTCCTTTTGTAAAAAGAGCTCTTTAACACTAATTTCTTCTTTGAGCTGACTTTCTCCTTCCCTAAAAGTTCACACAAAAATTGCATTCATAAAGTTGCAGTGTTAAGACGTTAAGCGCTGTTTTGCTTGGGTCTAAGGGAGACAAAAGTTCATTCCGGAGAGAAGCAGGGGCCAATGAAGGAGGAACCGTTGCACTATTAGGGGACAGAGGTTTTAAAGAAGCTGGGTAATTGTTCTTCTTAACTTCAAGAGGATGGTCGCGTGGAGGATATTGAATAGGAGGCGTTTTTGTCGGCACTGACATGCCGGTGATCATGTCGTGATTAGTTTGAGTTTTGTATCTGATTGGTTGAGAGTGGCGTGCGTTTTCTAGACCAATCACAGAGCGAAGTAAAGCAAAACCGATGCAATTCGGGTTGCTTTCGAAACTCAATTGAAAATTTCTCTAATTAAAAAACAACAACGACCAAAAATCCAATGAACAGAGATTCGTCCAGAGCGCTAAACAAAAATGCTCTAACTTCCTAGTGAGGATTCGAGCTCCAGTGTGTTGCGAATTTTCGGTTTAACGATGAGACCACAGCGAACAACAAGAGAAAACAGATTGACAATCTTTCCAATTTTTTTTTTGGGATACCTGTTACCCGCCATTCCTCTGGATTTCGTCCAGTCTATGTTCCGACGCATTATTTCATTCTCACGGACGATCCTTTTCAACTCATTCTAAAACAAAGAAAACTTTTGGATAAGGTGAAGGCTACAAAGATTAGAAACGCTGACACACAACACAAACAAATAAGACTCCTGTAACACTCTTTTAATACCTCAACTTATAAGCAGGTGAATTTTGTCACGGACATTATTCCAACTATGATTTAAGAATACTCAGTTGTGTTTTGTCGAGAAAGAAAAATTTCCAAAAAAGAAGAGTACTTTTATTTCTTACGCGAAAATTTAAAGTGGGAAGTTTAAAGTTTACCTGTAAGACTTCAAGTAACTAAAGCCTTCAACCCAACCAGAGGAGATTACAACCGACTAGAAAAGCTCTCCATTTTCAAACAAAATCTCCAAATCAGCACCAAAAGAAACGGATAAAAACGATGTCGAGAATAAGTATACTACTCTCAGAGGCGAAAATGGTTAGGTGTAATCGTCACTTCCCAGCCAACGACCTATTTGTCCCTCGCTTTCAGTTTGTTAACACACTGACAAATGAAAACATCTCTCAAAAACTCACCTTTTGGTCTTTGAGACGCAGTTCACTCTGTGTCATTTTACTTGGAGATAAGCTCTTCACATCAGAGTTTTGCATCTCGTTTTCCAAACTTTCTAAGGTGCCGCTTGAAGATGTAACTCGCTTCACATCCTCAGCATTGAATCTTTCTTGATCGTCAGCCTCCTGACGGACGTGTGTAAAGCGTCGAAACTCAGTCCCTTCTCCCGACTCTTTTGCCAAACCATCAAAGCAGCTTCCGTCCGGAGGAGAATTACTGCTTCCTGGACTTTGAGTCAAAGATGTTTCCTCGTCAATTTTGTTACGGCTACAATACGGTGTGCTCTTGAAAAGCGGCAAAGGGTCGATGTTTGCTGATTCTAGTTTGGTTTTCTGATTCTGAAATAAAGTGGGAGTATAATCTTCAGGTGTGTCTGAAGTGGTCCTCACGGAAGAGGTTTCCTGCAAGATCGTCGTTGAAGGTAACTCACTATTCTCAATTTCGCCACGAGTTCTAATATTTCCAAGATTTGCATTGGGAAATCTTGGTGCAAATGATCGTCCCCTCCCTGCTGCACCCCTGTTGGATCGCCCCAGAGAAGTTCGGAGCTCCTGTAAGGGCAACGATACTGGACTATTTGGTTGAATTACACGCATTCCTGCGTAAAATGGTGGTCCAAACGGCAGCCTCGACGCCAGAAGCTGCTGTTGAAGAAAAGCATCAGCATTCCATCCTGGAAACATCAAATTACCCGACTGGTGCCTCGGAAAGTCAGGGTGTTGGAATCTGGAAGCCATGCTTACCGGCATTGGTTGAATACGCTGGGGTGGCCCATGGGGCCCATGAGGCCCATGGGAAGGGTTGGAGAATAATTGTTGTTTCATGAGGGGTCTTACCGTGCTTGAGTTTGAAGAAGAAACAGGCTCTGGTGTGCATGAAGCAGTAGCGCCTGTAGGAGGATCCGATCCACTACCAGGATCGATTGGCGGTGATACATGCGGTCCCACTATGCTCGAGCCCGCGGGAGACACAAGTTCAGCCGGAAGTAAAGCAGGAACGGATGAAAGAGGAACCGTTGCATTATTAGGGGACAGTGGTTTCAAAGAAGCCGGGTAAGTGTTCTTCTCAACTTCAAAAGGATGTTCTCGTGGAAGACATTGAACAGGAGGCGTTTTTGTCGGCACTGAATCTGATTCTTTTCCTATCTGAACATAGGTATCATGAACCTTTATTTGATCATGTCGTGGTGATACACCCTTAAAATCTTGAACTACTTCTCCATTTATGGTAGACACAGCAGCACCCGTTTGATCCTGATGGGGTACTTTAAAAGACACTGGCGACTCTCCTGAAGTCTCTGGCCCTAGTTCGTTGTAATGCCTATCAGATTCAAAAGAGCAGAGTTCCATGCCATTCAAAGAAGACGCACACGAGGGGCAAGGAGATGGTGTGCTTCCCGCGTGGCTCGAATTTAATACATTGCTTGTGATCTCTTCATGGCAGTTATTACAATCTTGCCTGAGGGGTTTCTCTAGCGACAGTGAGCCGAAACTGAAAGAGCCGCTGGTTTCTACTTCACTGAGTGAGGTATCACCTCGTCTTGGCGAAGAAGTCACATCTGGGCAGCTTGGAGATGTATAGATTGTCGGAGAAGGAGTAAAATCTTGGCCTATCGGGGAAGTGTACCTCCCTGGAGATGATGTTTCATCAGAGCTGCTTGGGGATAAGTACCTTCCCTGAGAGACTCTCATACCAGGGCTGCCTACTGAATCATAGCGTTTGAGTGGAGAGAGCGTAAGTGTAGAGTTTCTTGAATGCAGTGCGTCAGCTTCACAAGGTCTTCCTGAGATAAGTTGGCTATCCGTGTGTTGAAAAACTTCCTGATGATTTGTCAACTCCATGCTTTGTAAACATTCTGTATTCGTCCCGTTAGTCACGTTGTGCTCGTAAATCCTATGGCTTTGTAAACCCTCCTCGGTAAAGTGTGTTGCGACTGACTGTTGGTTGGACATATGATGTTCACCGCCGCTGAATTAAGAGAAAACAAGCACAGATAAATAGATAGATAATTTAATTAATAGACGATGAAATCCCCCAGTTAATATATTACAATATATTAATACAGTATTACAAGAATAAAACCTATTATATCACTAAAGCTGCATTTCTGGGATGCCATGTCTCATTCAAAGCTATAATGATGCACTTCAATTTTAAATTCGCATAAAGGAACTGTTGCTCGAAGTTCATGTGAAAGGCTGTTCCAGAACATGGCACCTCTGCAGGAAAAGGTTTTCTTCAAATAGTTGGTGCGGAGTTGTGGAACAGCCAATAATTTATTCTCAGCATCGTCAGTCGGTGTGAAGTAATATCATTTCGGGATATTAATGAAGATTGTAGATATTCAGAGGTCAATCCATATAAAGTTTTGAGCATCATAACAGAGGTGGCTACCAGTCTTTGATGACTAAGTTTTCGCCCGCTGAGTGCCTGGAACAGCTCGTCAATATCGTCCTAATTGCTTGCATACAATATAATACGGGCTGCGCGGTTTTGAAGCTTCTGTTTTTGTTCACATAGGCCAAAACCGCAGTTGCCTCAAACAACGCTGCAATAATCAAAATCTAGTTAGACTATGCGTTAGACGAATCATTCAGAACATTTTTAAAAAGGAACAAAATAGCTCATTCTTTTAATTGCAGCTAAGGCAGAGGCAATCCTTTTACAAACACTCTTTATATGACAATTCCATTTTAAGTTTTTTATCAATATGTACCCTTAACCCTTTAACCCCAAAGAGTGACTGGCTTCTCATTTCTCCCTACATTATCAACTTTGAATCAAATGCAAAGGTCAGAAGAATAAAGGAAATAATCAGTGATTTAAGAAGCCCTTGATT